AGCTAGCCTTGATAAGATCTACATAATAGTTGTTTATAACAACCTCTGACCTTACAGCACAACCCGAGAAGTAAAGGAAGTATTCGTTCATGCAAGGTGGTATTCCTAAGACAAGTTCAAAATGCTGATGACGTCATCTTTGACAAGGCTTGGCTTTAAAGATCTGAGACGGGAATAATTCGCCCCAGCAAAATCACTGTTGAAAAAGACGAATATGTGGTGGCATTGGTAGGCCTCAGGCTCGTTGTTAGGGGAGCTTTCACAGAGACGAGTGAACACAGCGAATTTATATGGGAGAACATGCATGGTCAATACCATGATGGTCGTGACTAGTCGTCACTATAGTCTACACGTGACAGTTTGTAGTCTACACTGTCGTCACTGACGACGGCCTCCTCTAGGGAATTCAATGATCCATGGCTACAACGATCCACCCTTGAGCATGGTGCGAGCCTCACCAACGAAATGATGATGAAGAGCCGATCAATAGGGTTTAGATTCCCTCCACTGTGGGAGGAGGTTAGCGTAGTCCCATCACCGACTTACACATATGACCGCATCTTCGTTCACGCATTTATTGTACAAGCTGAAGCGAACGCCTTCAGGGACGACTATGGTTGTATGGGGCTCGCAGAGTATTCTAGATAGGAAGCAATACATCGTGAAAATGAAGGCGGCGACAAATACCAACCTCGTATTCTCTCCCATAAGGCACTCGAGTTCGTCCACTGCACAGTGAATAACTGTTATGAAGACATCGCCGATACAATGGCGGTCCTCGGGGAGCGAATATCCCTAATACCGATCCAACAGAACTGCGAGACCCAAAGGGCACCTACCCCTTGAATTTGGACAAGATGCGGGATTAAGTCGACGAAGCCTCGCTTGTCTGGGAAGATAGGCACGGACGAGACGCCAACCCCGAGCTCGTATTCAGGTTGGCCCAGCTTCCTGGAACACACCACGCACAGGGAAGAATGCGATATGGTATCTTACCTAGCCTCAAGGTCACGATAGGCGATTACTTTCACCTTCCCGAACTCAGCCGGTGGGTCGATGGTACGTATCTGAGTCAAGACCCCGCACTGATGGCCCCAAAGGCATGATCAGTAGCCAGTATTACGTGGATCTGATTGCTCTTTCGAGTAGGGGCTGATCGCCTGAACTTCTTCCACCCTCGCGTTGAGAGAGCCGATGTGGTCGGCCGCTCCTTCTCCTCGATCACATCAGACGCTTCATAGTCTTGCTCGAGGCTTGGTGCCATAACAATAACTGGATCTATGTGATGACCCCTTTACTGTCCTCCGTAACGCGACGCAGCAGAGGGAAGGACACACAGCTCATGGTGACTGAGAATAGGATTCCACCTCCCCTGAAGGCATCTATGGAATAAGAGTCAACATCTCGCTGTATAATTGACCCATCATCACCCACAGAACTGATCTCAGTAGTAGGCGCCCCGTAATCTCTGCTAGTGTCGCCATGTCAAGACCTGAGTTCCCGAACAGTTGGCCGACACCACACATTGTGGGGAAGCCAGTCCCAATTCATTGGTCCACGACAACGAAGAAATCAGTATTCCTCTCTCTGATGGCAATATGCAAAAGCGATCGGACCTAGGGGGCCTCAGCCGGGGCAGTCGACCTAATCAATACCAACAACCTCACCACAGAGTGTGTTGGCCCAGCGAATAATGATGAGAATCAGAACACCCAGGAGGGCACTAAGAGCCGCATGAATACCAGCGGCAACAGCAGTCCTTCCTTTGCTCGACTGCACTAAAGATCCTTGCTCGCGATCCCCACAGTAAGGCAGGCCGAGGACGGTAGTGAACATATATGGCAGAGGGCGGCCTCGACCCGGTCGGCCCCACCAACTCTATGCATGCCCAGTGGAAAAGTTTGGTCAGCGCTCGCCACAAGGTAGTGTACCAATGGCTCGGCGAACAGCAGGTATACAGATGACGAGCTCAGAAGTGGTTAGCAATATAGGGATCGAACCATCATCGCCCTCGACTAGCTTGATGAGAGAGATACCATGAACCCTCGAGGCCACAGCAACCTTGGTTCGGTCCACCGCCTTTTCACAGGTCTTACAGTGCACCGAAAGGAAAACAGTGCAATAGGAATTATTCCAATAACCATGGGAGTCCCTATGATGCGCCGAGTAGAAACGCGAGACACCTACCCGCATTAACAGCATACTACTACAACACCACAACGGTCAGGGATGGGTTAGACATGTTCCATGCTAATAGGCTTGCGTACGGTTACCATACCACTCCTTCGCCACTTCAGCCTACTATGAGGCCATATTAGCATAGAATGATGCATGCACTTTGAAATAATGATGGTTACAATTGCGAGGCAGCAGCAGCTAAGACAAAGAGATACTGATAGTGTACTGCTTGGCAGTAGTGCTACTATACGACGAGATACTAAGCCTTGTGAACACCCTCAACTTGTCATACTATCCTTCATACTCTAATCGGCTACTACGACCACGTAGTGGCTATCTAGACTGATAATAATCTAACAAAAACTATCATCATCAGCAGCAGACAAGCACTCACCTCTGTGAAGACATTCGCACGCAACTTGTCTCAGAGGCGGATAATCGTCGAAGGATGAGCCGTCGTCATCTGTTGCGGCTGTGGCTGATGTAACCATACGGACGATAGCAAACCAGGATTAGTGATGATTCTGCTGCCCACTAAGGGTGATGGAGGAACCGAAGGGCCTGCTGCCATCGGCCAAGACACAACCTGACAAGTGGTGCACTCTGCCATCGCTAACTTGCGACGACTACCCACCGGTCTTGGGTTGGTCGGATGAGAGACTGCGTGGCTGCGTTGCTGCTGTGCCGCTCTATTGGTAGCACTCATGATCATCCGAGTGCCCATCACTGGACTAGCTGGCATAGCCCCTATCGCTCTGGTTGCCGGCTGGACCCTCACCGTGAAGGGCTGCGATACCGTCACGGATTGCTGAGGTTGATACGGAGCAGAGAAGAGGCTCGGTGTCAACGGAGGTAGGCCAAGTTGGAAAATCTGTCGATGGGCCACTGCTGGTGTCGGCGGTATGACCGGCGAGCCCATATATATAGCACGTTGGCTCGAGGCGTGATGCGATGTGGTAGTAGTTGCTGCCATCGAGGGGGTCGCTGTAACTGACAAGGAAGGCGATGGGCTGAATTCCCTATGGCTATCAGCTTCACCTGGACCGCCATAAACGTATCTTCCAGTGTAGGGTCCGGTCATCGAGGCGCCCTGTACTACAGTACTACGATTCGGCGGTGACGGCTGAGACCTCGTCACCACCACACGATGCCTCCCTTCAGCTTCCTCATGGCGAGGTGCAGTATCGACACTGACTTGTCCGTTCGAGTAGTATCATATACCCGCATCGGCG